CCTCGACCAACAGCCACAGGAACACAAGTTGGCAAAAATCAAGGGGTTGTCAATAAATGTCGTCACACTTGTAAGGGGGGGGGGGGGTGTCGTAGTTTTGTGATGGTGTGTTATGAGGGGGAGGTGGAAGTTCAGAAGGTGTGACATCACACTTATGCATTATAAAAAGCAATGTTAGAAAACGAGTTTTAGCCATTATTTCGCGTTTTAGAAAACGGTTTTAATAAATTTGTGATTGGTGATTCCAAATATACAGTCAATGCATAATACTGACACATAAATGTATTACATTTTATTACCATCTTATACATATGTAATTCCAACCCCCACCATTTGAACTGACTTTCCAAGAAAAAGGGACACTTACTTATTTTTTTATTTTGGTAGCTATACACAAATTCAAGTCTTTCATATTTTAAATTTATAATGTGTTTTTTCACACACATATATATTGATTGTTATTATGCTGATTAAATGTGCTTTTTACCACAAATTATTATAAATTAATAAATTATAATGATGTAGTTTTTAAAAGTTTATAATTATTATTACATGATCTCTTAGAATCTTTCTGTGATATAAAAATAATACAATTTAATTAATAAATTTTATTATTTTTAAGATAAAAAAAAAATGAGGACCTCCAATATTTCTGAGCTTAGAGTAGGGCCAAAGCAGAGACAGCATGCAATCAGATCGCAAAACCATTAAAACTCTTATTTAAAACAATGGGAAAACCATCCCTTTTTTTAATAAACATTATGAAATGACGTTTTAAACAATTAATTACTATTAAAAACGTATTAAACATCTAGTATGCAAAACAAAATCTCATGCACCCGATATCAGAAAGTAATGACAACCATAGTAATAAATAGTATTAATATTTAAACTAATAAAACCATTTAGATCTAATTATTTATTTAAAAACCAATCTTTTTATTTGGAAAGAAAAGTCGGACACACTAGACTAGAATCTAGATCTACTAAAATCTAGATCTACTTCATTATAGACTCTAGTTCAGTATAGTAGTGAGTGTAGCATTTGATTTGGCATATTATTATTTACTAGATCTAGATCTAGTAGATTCTAGATTCGGTAATCTATCGTTTTGGGTACGTAAAATCGCCCGCGGCTATTAATGTACGAAAACGTTACCTCATTGTCAAGGCTGTAATAGAAGTATATTGTGATATGTTTGTGTCAAATATTATAGATAAATGAATAATAAACCTAAATCAATGGCTAAATATATCAATATAGGCCAGAAATAAACTTTAAACAGCTGTGTCTGCAAGCAAGATTTGCTATATAAACAGCAGCCATTTGTAAAATAGAGTGACTTCCGCCTGAATCTCGCGCTATATGTCTATAAAAATAAAACTTTAACAAGATGGCTGCTATAGTAAATGAGCGTGGTTGCATCTGTTGGAAACATCGCTGGTGTTCATTTATTACTGAAAAGTTTTAATTCAATTGTTTAAAAACAGGTACATAAATGAAACAAGGAAACATTTTTGTATTTTTCAAAACATAAATCCTCCTCAAAATGTGAAATAATTATTAAAATGTAAGGAGTCACCTGTTTTTCACATTACTAGTCGCGGTCGATTTTACGTACCTAAAACGATAGATTACCCTAGATTCTAGTATTACTAAGTAATACTAGAACTAGAATCTAGATCTATTACAGTATTACTATTTTTACTATTTTTAGTATTTACATCTAAGAAATCTAGATTCTAGATCTAGCTTCTAATCTCTACTCTAGAAGTAGAATCTAGATTCTAGATCTAGAAAGATCTAGATCTAGAATCTAGATCTATATCTGATGCCAAGATTCCACCTAGCCTTATTCTATAACTGTCGATGAGAATAGTGTAGGATCGGCTGAAGATTCTCTAGATTTTGATTCTAGATCTAGATCTAGATCTAGATCTAGATCTAGATCTAGACAAAATAGAAAAAAATCTCTAGATTCTATTCTAGCATTAGGCCACATCCGGTTTACAATACTTCAGATAATATGACGTAGATCTATGACTTTCGCATTTAAAAAAATGTTAAACTTAAACTTAATTTTAGCCGTTATTTGGGATTTTTGCAAACGGTTTTTTTTTTGTAAATTGTAATAGAGATTGATTGATATACTCAGTCAATATATTAGAAAGAAATCGATGTTTATAATAAGCCTGCCGCTTTTTTTAAGGTGGGGGGGGGGGGGGGGGTTAGGGGTCGTCCATAAATGACGTCACACTCGTAGGGGGGAGGAGGGGGGATCGTTAATTTTGTGACGATGTGTGATGAGAGGGAGGGGGGGGGGGGGGGGTTCAGATGGTGCAACGTCACACTTTTGCATTATAAAAAAGAAATGTTAGAAAACGAATTTTTGACGTTATTTCGCGTTTTAGAAAACTGTTTTAATAAATTGAAATAGGAATTGATTAAAATACTCTATTTTGACAGATTTCAGACAAGATTTTGGAAAAATATCGATGTTAAAAAAAATTCAAATGATATTTTCGGGGGGGGGGGCGTACTAAAATTATGTTTTCTATAAAATTTCTTGTAAGTATGTGCATACGCATGTTTATGTTTTCAAATCTTTTTTTTTTCCGGATGTATTTAATTTTTTTTTACCATACATGGATTAACATATTGGTTATTACGATTCTCAACCAAACCGTTTTCCTCAGGCATATATAATGCAACGTTGAGTTGATGTAACTCTTCTCCCCCCCCCCCCCCCCCCCCCCCCCCGTCACCCTCACGGTGATTGCTTTAAACTGTGCTCAGATAATACTAACGATTTGTATCTATATTCGGTTATAACTTCAGCAGGATGTTGCATGTTTTCTTTATCATTAGCAGGTTTACGCATGGTGTTACCCCGTTACCCCCCCCCCCCCCCCCCCATCCCTCGACTTCACCTGTGTCGGGATTTGTCCACTTTGCTGTTAAAATTAATCATTTAATCAAGTGAAATAATCATTTTTCTCTAGTATTTTGCTATTTTTTTGCCTTGGTGTCACCCCCCTAATTGGTGTCACCCGGTGCTGTCCGTAACCCTCCCCCCCTTGCTATGCTTCTGCCCCTATACACTCCCACCACAATTTTAAAGATTATCTCAATAAATTTTTCAGCATTTTTGTTCGTCATTATATATATATATATATATATATATATATATATATATATATATATATATATATATATATATATATATATATATATATATATATATATATATATATATATATATATATATGTATATATGCAGGTCATTGTAGCAAACGTGTGAACCCTTCAACACAGGTGTAATTACGACCCTTAATCCCTAATTGGCCAAAACAACACTTTTAACGTGTAAAACTAGCATCATTTACTAAGTTTTCTAGTATCTAACCTCCCTCCCTCTGTTGGCTGGTGTTGTGTGGATGTAAGAAACAAATGACCCTATGCAAACAACAAAAACAAGAAACATACTTAAAGTAAAGTTTATATTATTATAAACTACAGTCGCGGTTGGTAGGAACTATGTAGAGCGATTATTACAAAATATACTTAGTACTAGGCATACTGCCCAGGTTTTCAAAAAACTTTGGAGAATTTGAATGATTAATTAATTGGTGATTGGCTGTTACATGGAATGCTTAGGGACTAAGTTTAAACAGTCTGAGTAATTTCATGGCATGCACTCATATGTAGAGTATTCGCAAATTTATTACTCGCAAGGTTATTATAACTATAGTATAAATCAAATATTATATAAAATTCACTTTCGCAATTAATTTTTACAATTTCATTACAATAAATAACAAAATTTATAACGAAATATCTATTTAAACGAATGCTATACCTTGTGATTTTTGTTTTCTTTTCTTTAAAATAATATTAAAATTATTTAAAAATTATTACTTTAATAAGTTACCTCCCCTGTACAAAGACAAAAAACGTAGTCTTTGTTTACTTTTTCACAAACAATTGTTTATGTTAGAAAATACGGCATCTCGACAAATCTGACGACCTTAAGAGGTTTTTCCGACGTGAATAATGTTTATTGTTAACCTCCATGGTTTTTCTAGGACCTCACAATATATTAAGGGCATATTTTGTTGATTTATTATATATATATAATATATAATAATATATATATATATATATATATATATATATATATATATATATATATATATATATATATATATATATATATATATATATATATATATATATATATATATATATATATATATATATATATATATATATATATATATATATATATATTGCTGATTTATTTATATATATTTCTTATAATGAGAATTTCAATCGCGAGCATTTTTTAGCCTCATAGAGGGCTTCGAGTCTGACCAACAGTTTTTCCATACGGCCTCAATAGAGGTGTATGCAAATAATTAGCTAGATATACAGAGGTTAAGTACCCGAAAATTTGTATTGGAATTACCCTGTTTTTCACATAAAATACAAAGATTATATTGAGAAATACGACTGATCAGTTTTGGCCAATTTCTAGCTATTTCTGAGACCCCCAGGCTGTCTTCTATCACTTCACAAAGTATCAAGGGGGGTCGTTAGGCAAAAGTTTTTTCGTAATATAGCTCATATAAAGAGCCTGTCAGTCGAGGTCAGTTTTGACCCCCTCTTCGTGGATTTTGCGGTCAACCGGCACCGGCCCTCGCGCCCTATTGCCCCAAGACAGGATCCTACCAAATTTGAAGCACCTGCGGCGCCGGGAAGTGCCCTGACAGGCACCCGACCAGTTTGCTATATATATATATATATATATATATATATATATATATATATATATATATATATATATATATATATATATATATATATATATATATATATATATATATATATATATATATATATATATACAGATATATAGATTCATACCATGATTTGTTATGCGAAACCAAGTTTGGAGAACTTTACTTTCTCACCCTAACATTCTGACGTCATAGTACAAACAGGAAGTTACATTTCTTCTTAGCAGCTGACGCCTTTGTTATGATTATATAGATCTAGGGTCTAGATCTAATGATCAACTAATAAAATAGAATAGATACACATATTACATAAACATTTTCTTAAATTGTAATCCACTTGTAGGCCCTAGTATTTTTGATAACCCAAATGGCAATATATTCTTATGCGTCGTGATGCATCTGCCTCAAACTAAAGTGTGTCAAACGATTCTGAAGGGGTTTGTGCTAGGCTCGGCCTATTCGATTTTTCGTTGTAAAAATAAAATTCAGGACTAATTAATACATTTAGTAATCATTATGTTAGAATACTACATAATTTAAAAATATACTTCTTTCTTTTAAAACTCAAATAAAATCGGACTGTGCACTGTCACAATTATGACAAGGGCTATGAGTATGAATGATGTATGAGTCTATGACTCAATTTGACTCAATCTATGACTATCACTATGGCATGATGGCCTGCTAGCTAGCTAGATCTATTCTAGTCTAGTAATTCTAAATCTTAGTTCTAAGTAGTACTAGATCTAATCTAAATTCTTAATTAGGCCTATTCTAAATTTAAATGACTCACAATCTGTATGACACTGTGTGACTGTATGTTGACTGTTTGTCAACCAGAGAACCCAAACATATGAAACAACATGCTAAAATATAGGCTAATCAATAGCCCTATACTATACTATATAGTATATAGTTATTAGTATATAGGCCTAGTAATTCATACATAATTAATAATTAAGCTTTTTAGTTTAGTTAGATCTACCATTAATTATAATAGAGCTACTGCATTAAAATTTCAAATTGAAATATTTTATAATTTAAATTTTTATAGCCTAGATTGTAGGCCTAATTAATATAATATAAGTTTACACTTGTGATGTGTATAATATTGTATGTGTATAATAGGCCTACATAACTTGGCCTACTTCTACTGTATATATTGGGGACCACAATAGGGCCCAGCCAATATGCCAAGTAACATGATGGTTCTACTCTTAGGGCCCTTGACAAATATACATGGAAGGGGGAGCACAATATAAATATTCGTGGGATGCGGGAGAAGGTAAAAATACATGGGAGAGGGGAGTAGGTAAAAATACATGGGAGAGGGGAGTAGGTAAAAATACATGGGAGAGGGGAGTAGGTAAAAATACATGGGAGAGGGGAGTAGGTAAAAATACATGGGAGAGGGGAGTAGGTAAAAATACATGGGAGAGGGGAGTAGGTAAAAATACATGGGAGAGGGGAGTAGGTAAAAATACATGGGAGAGGGGAGTAGGTAAAAATACATGGGAGAGGGGAGTAGGTAAAAATACATGGGAGAGGGGAGTAGGTAAAAATACATGGGAGAGGGGAGTAGGTAAAAATACATGGGAGAGGGGAGTAGGTAAAAATACATGGGAGAGGGGAGTAGGTAAAAATACATGGGAGAGAGGAGTAAGCAAACTGGGGAGGCAGGATTTGTCTTTCCTGTAACAAGTAAATTAGTAACGCTGTCACTACCCAAAACACCAGTCCCAAAAAGTAAGTGTACAGTAGGCTACACATCAGTTATAACAAAGTTGTAGTGTTGACATTAGCATTTGGTGTCTGAACTCAGGTCTAACTTGATTCAAGTCTTTAGTAGTTACACTATAAAAGAAGTTCAAACAGAAATGTAAAGAAATACTGCAGGCCAGGAACATTGTTTAGTAATAAAATTGTAACTTGATAGGTTTTTTGGACAATGAAAAGTAACTACTAAAATCACCTGGGTTGTCTTGGTTAATTTTCACTGCATATAAACATCAATAGCATCTAATCTATACTCCATTTAATTTAAACATCAATAGCATCTAATCTATACTCCATTTAATTTAAACATCAATAGCATCTAATCCATACTCCATTTAATTTAAACATCAATAGCATCTTTACTCCATTTAAACATCACTAGAATCTTTACTTGGATTTTATATTGTACATTGTTTGATTCAATATTTACCAATCTATACTCCATTTAAACATCACTAGAATCTTTACTTAGATTTTATATTGTACATTGTTTGATTCAATATTTACCAAACTATACTCCATTTAAACATCACTAGAATCTTTACTTAGATTTTATATTGTACATTGTTTGATTCAATATTTACCAAACTATACATCACTAGAATCTTTACTTAGATTTTATATTGTACAGTGTCTGATTCCATATTTACCAATGGCTTCACCAAAGTATCATCCTCTCCTCCATTGCCATTGAATAAAGATATTTAATAATGTAATGAGTGAATTACATTTTTTCTCTAAGTCTTCAGATAAATTATTTTTGTTTTACTTATGATGTCCCACTTCTAACAAAGTGTTCCTTTTATTTTCTTGTAGGCTGGTAGGATGTCTGGGTAAGGGTGTGCCTGTCAATGGGTCAGTGCTTGTCTCCGTGTTGTGAGAAGCAGGGGCGTAGCAGTCCGGTGGGCAGTTTGGCTGACACAGGCCACCCCAACCACTCCCGCACACAGTACATAGCTGGGATCACTGTACCTGACAGCAAAGATAACGGATGCGGAGAGCCTAACCCAGCAGTGACTACAGCAAACTCTGAGTGGAAAATGTTTACACCCTACCCCAAACTTCCCCCCATTAAAAAACAAGCTGTTAATGCTGAAGCTAAACGCTTGTCCCTCATTTCCAAGGAAGTTTCTGAAGCCAAAATTTTGTCTCTTTTTGAAGTTTATAGGGACAAAAATGAAGATTGCATATTAGCTGACGGCATTGAAAGATTGTGTATAGATCTTGAAGTAAAGCCAGAAGAATTTATTGTTTTAATATTGGCCTGGAAGTTTGGCGCTGAAACAATGTGTGAGTTCTCACGGCTAGAGTTTGTGCAAGGCTGTAAAGCCATGAAAGTTGATTCACTTAAAGGGATACAGAACAAATTCCCAGAACTTTTAGCAGAAGTTGGGGATAAACAAGCTTTCAAAGATCTGTACCGCTGGACTTACAAGTTTGGTTTAGATAGCTCTTCTGGCCAGAGAACGTTGCCCACTGACATGGCCATCAGCCTGTGGAAACTTGTCTTTTCTCAGAACGAACCTCCTGTTCTTCAAAGGTGGCTAGAGTTCTTGGAAAAACACAGCAGTATCCGTGGGATACCAAAAGACACATGGGATATGTTTCTTAACTTCACAGAGCAAGTTGGAGAGGACCTAAGTAGTTATGATGACACAGAGGCCTGGCCAAGTCTTCTTGATGACTTTGTAGAGTTTGAGAATGACAGGCACAATCAGAATGTTACAGCTGACTGATTCACTCAGTCGTATCAATGTTACAACTGACAGAATCACTCAGCCGTATCACTGATACAACTGACTGAATTACTCAGCCGTGTCAATGTTACAACTGACAGAATCACTCAGTCGTATCACTGTTACAACTGACTGAATCACTCAGTTGTATCACTGTTACAACTGACTGAATCACTCAGTTGTATCATACAAAATAAGTTTCGTAGCCATATCCTTGTTTGACTGTTCTTGAATTTGTGACCCTTAATTCATGTTGTATTTCTTTATATCTTTGCTGTTGAATTGCTGGAAGAAAGGTTGAACAATTTTTAAAAATTGTTCATTTATATATGAGTTTCAAAACATAGTAAATTTAAAATATTATCTTTTCATTATAAATTAATTTCTATTTGGGGTACCATTTGTGTAGAGGTCACCTCTTCAAACAATTATTTTTAGTGTACGTATTATTGTTATGTTTTTATTATCATGTGATATACCAAGCAATTTATGTCTAAATTTAACTAAGACTAATAATTTATTAAGCAAATCATTTTAAAAAAAGAATAGGGCTCAAACTTTTTTATTTTTATGTGAAAAATGTTCAACTCTCCACAACCTGAGGACAAAAAAGTTGTTAGCTCCAAATTTGACTGGCATATAGATGTTTCTGAGCATTGATAACATTGATATTGTATTGGATCATTGACAAGTTCAATACTGTATTGGCTTGAAAAGTGGTTCAAAATTGGCTCTTCTATAAAAAAATTTGAAATAGGTTCAAATTGACTTCCGGTTTTATTTAGTTTAGAAATATTCAAGTAATAAACAAGTAATCATTATTAATATAACATCTGAGCGTAAATCTTAAAATAGAGAGACCATTACAATAAAAATATATGCAACTGCATTTTTAACACTAAAATGGAACTGAACAGGTCCAGTTTGCCAATTTGTTTATCTTTGGTCACACTGTACGCTGTTTATTTTATCGCATACACCAATTGTTTCACTTTCCCTGGCCACCTAGGTTCACTCAAGTCAATGTATAGTTACAGTATGTTTTGTTTAAAATATGAATCAATTTGAATTGATAAAATAGATCCAAATTATTTTCAATGGTTTATCCCTGATACAAAAATTTGAAAATGAGTGCAACCAATTTTTTCCAATTTAATTTTTAAAAATGTAACCATTCCATCGCTTGCCATATTTTAAAAAGAATTTTTAAAATTTTAGAATAGATTGATTTTGAACCACTTTTCAATATTTGTAATTAAGATTTTTGTGCTTTAGGTTTTTAAAAATTTGAATTGATTACTTCTTTTTAAAAGTGATTATTCCTGTATACAATGTTCCTTTGAATTATTAGCAAAATCAAACTATTTGCTTCTGATGCTGTTGGCTTACGGATTTTGTAGCAATTGGTGTGTTTTAGTATATTGACTATTGAGCTAAGAACTTAGAAATGGGTAACAGCACAAAAGTTGTGGGCATGAAAGGAAGTTTGAATGAGCATCCACTACATAGGAGATTTAACATGACCTGTTCTCCTTCACAGTCAAATGATGGTGTTGGTTAGAGCTAGAGTTTTGAAGAAGTGGCCAGATTTTTCTGGTGGCTGATCTGAATTTTTGTTAGTTTATCATTATCAGTTTGATTATTTTATGAGTTTTTTTGTTGGTGATAGAAATGTATGAGTTAAATACTCGGTCGGTCATTCAGTGCCTCATCAAAGTTTTATTCTGAAAACATTTATGCTCTGCCGGGGTGAAAGGTTGATTAGGATAATTACTAACATGCTAAGATTCTTGTAGTATATCTGGTGTTCATGTTATTTGGTTAGTCTCACATGTATTATAGGCAATACTTTATTATTTTAATATTATTTATTTATGACTTAGTAAGAACTAATTTCCTCAATATTTTAGTATGCTTTAGGTGGAACCTCTGGGTTTTGAGAAATTGATTGAGTGGTGTACAGCAGCTTAAGTACCATATCAGCTATGGCTGCACTTCTAACACAGTGGTACGGAATGTTTACAATTGATATTTTAAATAATTTAAAAATCTAAAACCCGCTGCATAGTCTATACTTCTTATATTTTTAACTTAAATTTCAAACAGCCAAAGGTGCAATGTTTATTTCCGCCCATTTTGGTCAACCCCAGCTAAATGAATGTATCACAAAACTCTTCAACACAAACCACTTGGTCTAGATCTCCACCAGTGATCTCCACCAGTAGTGAGCTGTTTGTTTTAACTGACACACATTTCATGATACTTTACTCAACTTTCTGGGCTCACTATTTAAACTGACACGCATTTCATGATACTTTACTCAACTTTCTGGGCTCACTATTTAAACTGACACACATTTCATGATACTGTACTCAACTTTCTGGGCTCACTATTTAAACTGACACACATTTCATGATACTGTACTCAACTTTCTGGGCTCACTATTTAAACTGACACACATTTCATGATACTGTACTCAACTTTCTGGGCTCACTATTTAAACTGACACACATTTCATGATACTTTACTCAACTTTCTGGGCTCACTATTTAAACTGACACACATTTCATGATACTTTACTCAACTTTCTGGGCTCACTATTTAAACTGACACACATTTCATGATACTTTACTCAGCTTTCTGGGCTCACAATATTTGCAATGTTATTTTTTTTTCAGATATTAGGAAAATATTTGGAGTAAATTGTTTAAATGTGTCATTGTTTTTTGTTGTGAAATGGAAATCTGAAGGCTGCATAAAATATCCTCCCAAGAGCCTTGACATTCATGTAACAATAAGTTCTTGCTGTCATTTCAAATATTTTCTTTACTCATCTTTAATGTTGTATTGCATGTAAAACAGCAAATTTATCCATGGT